CCACTCTCTTCCACTAACTATTTCTTCTGTTCCCACATTCAATTGAAAAAGGCTAAGCATTTTGTTATGAAACAATGGTCCATTCCTCACTAAAGTCTCTCCTTTCTCAAGCAAAGTGCCTTTACCTATCATGCAACAAAACGAACTTCTCAAGCTTACAATGCTTCTTGCACTTGTCGACCTCTTAACGAGTGTCTCGAGTAAGAATTGAGCTTTTCGGTGGGTTCGGCTCCTTAAGACCCCCATAAAAAAAACAATCCCACATGACATAGCTACAAAGAACGAGTTGAAGGATACAAAATCTATGGCTCTGTTTGAAAACTATTTGATTTTGTTGGATGAAATTGTGATAATTTTGTTTGGTGAAAGAGAGGTGTATGAAGGGCAATAAATGAGTCCCTTTGTAGTTGTGTGTTGTTTGGGAGTTGCAAGCAATGCTTTGGTAAAGTCACAATCACATCCCATCCTTCCAAATGTATCAAACTCTATTAATTATTTCATTACATTTATGAACTATAATTAATTCAATTATATATATATATTGAATATGGTGGATAGTTCCATTTTCTAATTAATTTGTTCTCTATATATTTTTATTGAAATAACTATAAGTATAATGTTTTTTTGAAAACTATTTTTTTAATTTATTTATCGAAATTGTATTACGACTTTAGTTTTTTTTAAAAATTATAATTCTAGACTGACTGGAATCTAAAAAGAAAATGAAATTAGAAAATAATAAACGAAAATAAGGATGATATCGTATATAACTTTAATAAAGTGGATGAGTATTTAATTTAAAAAAAAAAATTGCATGCATGAAAACTTTAATTATTGGTAAAGGTTGGTGATAAAGGCTAAAACTCATTTTCCATTATTATTATTTTCTTTAAATGAAGCTTTATTGGAATATTTGTGTTTAATTTTTTTTTTCTCTTATTCTTTTGAAAAACTGATTTTTCCTTCTGTTTTAAATTCTGGGGTTTTTTTTAATATAAAAAATTAGTTTCTATTTACTTAATTTTTTATTTGATTTTAATATTTTTCAATAGAAGTTTTGAACATAATTAATGGTTAATTAACAATAAATCATGGGGTTGATAACATCAAATTATAAAATTATAAAATTATAAAATTATGGGGGACAATTAAAATAAACTAAAATAAAGAATTGAGGAATTTTACCAATGGGAATCATTTTTTTTATATTAAAAAAAAGTTTCTTTAATAATTAAAGGTAGATAAATAAATAAATTACTAATTAAAGTTATTGACTTTTTGCCTAACCCCTCTCTGTCTCGGCTTTCGAGATATATATTATTTAATAAATTAAAAAATTTCGAATTTTTATTCTATTATAAGGTTAAATAAAATTAAATAGAGATTTTTTGGGTAAGAAATTAACAGATTGTCTACTAAAAGTGAACTAACTATTCAATTGATATATTATGAACAAAATTCATTCAACTTAATTGCAAATAATGATTTTATCTCTGTCTCGTCTATAACAATTTCTATGAAATAATTTTTTTATATCGAAACGCAATAAAAATAATAATAATAAAGAGTTAAATATTTCCCAAAGGGCTTTTGTTTGTTTGTTTGTTTTTTCCAAATTTAATATTTTCCTCATCAAAAGAATAGGAAAAGAAAAAGGAACAAGAAATTAAATTTTTTTTAAAAAATAAAAAAAATTGCACTTTATAAAAATAAAAATGAACTGTTAGCATCGTTGGGAGCACTTGAGTGCAGTTAGCCAATCAAATCCCAACACTTGGAATACAACAAATTTAGATTTAACCATTTCAACAACTTGCCTTCCAAGGGGCCCCTTACTTTTGCCTGTTCATTATAAATTATTATTATTATTATTATTATTATTTTTTCTTTCCATAATTATATTTATCTCTAAATAAATAAGGTATTAGATGTGGTAATGTAATTTTATAAATAACAAAATAGAAAGAAAATAATAATAACGATAATTAACCTCACAACGACGTAATAAATAAAAATAATAATTTAAAAAGAAAAAAAAAGGAAAAGAAGGCGAGCATTGGGGGGGCGGGGGCGTTCAGGGAGAGGGCTTCCTCTTCAAGACGACGATCCAAGTAACCGCTTCCAACACCACAGCAACACCGCCGACGACGGCGATGGCCACCACGTACGCGAGTTTCCACTTGTGGGCGGGGCTCAACACATTGAACCCTTTGAACACGTTGATGATGCTTAGGATTAAGATGGAGTATCCTATGCTATGGTGGTATATGTTCCAATATATCCTGTATTTGTGCTCCTTTTTCGGCCTCAAAAACAGTGCCAACATCTGCACCACACATTTTTATCCAAACCAAAGAGGAACAAATCATTTCAAATACCAAAATATATATATCAACCTCTTGACTATGCTAAAAGCAAAATCACGAACGTTTATGTTTAAATATTATACAACTATAGAGATTTATGATTACTAACATGGTGTCTAAAACCATGTCCTTAACTTAGTCATGTTAATAGAACCCTCAAATCTTCATTCTAGAGAACGAGTAGAGCCTTAATTGAGAAGAGACTGTTTGAGAACTACAAAGGAAGAGGCATCAAAAGAGACTCTAAGTATACTTTGTTTTTTTTTTAATTAATTTTTTGAAATATATATATATATATATATAATTTCCTTTTTTTTTCCAACCACCATCGTAGTACTTATCTCACTGTTCTTCACTGAACGTATCATTTTCCGGGAAATTTTGCAGAACGCAGAGAAAGTTCCGAAACAGAATTGATTATTTATTGAGCAGAAATAAACGATTCGCGTGAAAACGTACCTGCAAAGATGCCATGGAGAATAGAGCAATTCCAATGTTCCGGTGATCGTAAACCACATACCCTTCAGATTCACTCCCAAGCTTCAATCCAGTCGCCCAACCAGCCGTTCCAATAGCGTACGCGGAAATCTGGCACGAAATATGAAGATAAAACCACGCTGGATCCGCCGACGGAAAAACCCTAAGGTACCTCGCAATAACGATTCCGATTGGGAAAAGAAGCCCCCAACTCACTGCGTTTAGAACTCCATGAATCTGAAAAATCAAACGCAGAGAAAAAAAAAAAAAGTCGGAATGAAAAAAAAAAAGAAAAAATCAGAGAAAAATTAGGGCACAGATTTTCCGTAGACATCGTACATTTTTCCTCATGGTTCTCGAATCAATTTTCCCGCCACTAGAGGCGGAGTTTGTCCTGCCGCCAGACAAGCCTAGGGTTCCTTTCGCGTTGAGATTGGGAGGTTTAAACTCATGAACGCCCAAATCCGTTCCATCAACAGACGGTCCAACTTGCCAGACTTGATTCACCGATTTAGCCGCCGCAGGCACCTTCAATTTCGCGAAAATCATCAACTCTCCAGCGGAAAACTCCGCCGTCGCATCCCAAACCTCGAAGGAAAGCTTGGAAGGCTTGACAGAGCCGTAAGAAGCAACATTATAAGTCTTGACAACTGGAACGCCGCCTTGTAGATAGGCAACGAGAGCCTGAGAGCCGGCCATACCAGTGGAAGTAGGATTGACGGCCCAAGCGATCCATCCGGCGGATGTGGAAGGTTTGGCAACAAAGGCAACAGAGAGAGAAGAATTGGAAGAATCGTAAGTCCAATGAATGAAAGCAGACAGGGAAGGGAGATCGGAGCAGTGAGAATACAGATTGTTGTTAGAGAATTTCCTGGAAGAACAGGTGAGAGAATCTCCTAGAGAGAAAAACAGAGACAGGAAGAGGAAAAACCACAACCCCCAACTCGAGGAGGAAGAAGAAGACGCCATGGAAGAGCAAACTGAGGTCTGTGGGGATTTATTTGAGGACTGAAATTAGCGTCTGTCAGAATGCAGTAATCAGCAAAGATATTGCTTTAATAAATTTAGCGACGGAACAGATAATGCTATAATTAGAGAATAAAAAAAAAACAAAAAAGAAACAAAAACATGAGGCTGTCGATTTACGACACGTGGCAAAACGATCCTTAATCTCATGGAAGCGCATTAGAGTGGTTCTTATTATATATATTGTTTTAAACAATCAATAATAATAATTAAAAAAAAGTTAATAATTCCGCTCAAAACGACACCGTTTTATATTATTTTAAAATTTTGACTAAAACATAATTTTAAGATTAAGGTTTTATTAAATATAAAACATATAATAGATTAATTAATATTTAAAATATTTCTATAATTAATATTTTTATCAATGACGTTACTTCATCCTATTTTTATTTTTATATTAAATATAAATTTAATCGATAATTAAACAATTTAAACATAGTTACAGGCACTATATCATCGACCAAATATCAGAATTTTGAATATTTTTATAAGTACATAATTGAAAGATAAAGTCTAAAATGCACGTAATTGATAGTTTTAGAGATTTATTAAATGCGAAATTTAAAAAAATATATTAATTAACACAAATTAAGGATATAATCCCACCTGAGTAACCCAACTCTTTAAATTCGTCATCAGTTCGAATGGTAAGTTGTAAACTCAGATTGGGATTCTTTGAGCAACTCACGTAATCGTTGATTTTTCTTGTCAATTGATTATGGGTAGCTTTATCGAGATCAAAAGCTAATTGCACAAACGCTCCTAATCCTGGCTTTAAAATTTGGGTGGAAGATCCTACTCTGGAATGAAAATACCCGCATTAATCAGGTTTGCCTACGTGGAGTCTAAAACGCTAGTAATCACCAGTCAACCATATGGCGAAGAATTCATTCTCGAACCTTATACACACCATCGGTCGCACTATGGGAGATGACCATGCCCAAAGGCAGGAGCGGAGTCGTAACAAGATAACCGTACTTATTTCATAAATTTGTTTTTTAAAACAATTTTATTAAAATTGCACTATCTTTATATAATTTTAATTATTATATATATATATANAAAAAAAAAAAAAAAAAAAAAGTCAGCATTAAATCCCTGATTTTAGGCGGACAAAAACTGATATTCCCCAACGATCTGTTCATCATTGTTCTTTAAAAACCCATTTCCTTCTCCCTCTCAAACCCACCATTTCCATTCCCATCTTCTTCCGTTCTTCATTTCTCCCCAAAATTCCTCAACAATGGCGTCCCTCTGTAAAATCTTCATCCCCTTCCTTTCCCTCCTCGCCCTCCTCCTCTCCTCCGCCCATTCCCTCACATGTTCTTCCCAATCCTTCCCCAACCGCACCTTCGCCCATTGCCAAGACCTCCCCCACCTCAACGCCTTCCTCCATTGGACCCACGACCCCAAAAACTCCTCCCTTTCCCTCGCCTTCATCGCCCCTCCGCCCCACTCCGTCGGCTGGGTCGCCTGGGCTATTAACCCCACCGCTACCGGCATGTCTGGTTCCCAGGCCCTAATTGCTACTCTTTCCGCCGATACCCCTACTGTTCGTACCTTCGATGTCGCCTCCTACTCCTCCGTCCGTCCTGCGCCGCTCTCCTTCCCTGTCTGGGATATTGCCGCTGAATTTGCTGATAAACGAATCACGATCTTCGCTACTGTGGAAGTTCCGGCGAAGGCTAAGTCGGTGAACCATGTGTGGCAAGTTGGAACTAAGGTCGACCCGGCTACTGATGCGCCGAAGATTCATGAGTTTGCGCCGGCTAATTTGAAGGCGAAAGGCGTGTTGGTGTTTGATGGGGAGGGGGGTGGTGGTTCTCCTGCGTCTGCGCCGGAGGATGCTGGGGTTAGTGAAAATGGCGGTGCTGCCGCCGCTGCCTCTGCGCCGGGATCGTCGGATAAGGGTGGGGCTGATGGGACTGGTAACGGAATTCCGGGGTTTGTTGTGGGTTTAGTTGCGTTTAGTTGGGGGGTTATTAGTTTCTCCTTTTAAATATTTTGGGGAGAAATGGAGAAAAAAAAAACCGTATCATTTTACAGATGTCTATTTTGGGGAATTATAATAATATATTCTTTTAAATAATTTGCTATCTTGTTCCTCTTTATTTCTTGTTGGTAATGTCATCTCTAACACTAAAATAAAAGGGAAGTTTATAATTCAAAATGCCCATGATGTCATTCACGTGCCACCGCCTTAACCTTGCTAACGCATTTTCCTGTCGAGAGGCCCTGATGGCGGTTCCCCGTCGTGTCGAGAGATGAGGCCCTGATGGCGGTTCCCCGTCGTGTCGAGAGATAAGCTATCAGAATCTAGAATCTAAGACAGTGTCATATGTGTATTTCTTTGTCTTCATATACCATATAAGGTACAGCCAATATAGGAAAAATGTAGCCGAGATGCCGGTTCCCCTTCATGTCGAGAGATGAGACCCTGATGGCGGTTCGAGAGACGTGTCGAGAGATGAGGCCCTGATGGCGGTTCGAGAGACGTGTCGAGAGATGAGGCCCTGATGTGGATTCGAGAGACGTGTCAAGAGGCCCTGATGACGGTTCCCCGTAGTTGGTGGTTCCCCTTTGTGTTGAGAGAATAGGAGGAAACAAGGAGAATTTTTTTCATATTAGCTAAATTGAATTAGGACAAGACTACATTGTTCATCTACGTCACTCTCGTCCCTCTCCACCTCACTTTTATATATAAATATATTAAATTTAAAACACAGACTCCTATCTTTCGGTCGCCTTCCTTGCCCCGTCACCCCATTACCTCATATGGTCGCCTGGGCCGTTAACCCCACCGGCACCGGCATATCTGGAGCCCAGGCCCTCATCCCACCCTCTCCGGCGACGACCCCTCCGTCCATATCTTCAGCATTTCCTCCTACTCCTCCGTCCGCCCCTCACCGCTCTCCTTCCCCATCTGGAACATCGCCGCTAAATTCGCTGACGAACGACTCACAATCTTCGCTACCTTGGGAGTTCCAGCGAAGGCTAAGTGGCTGAACCAGGTCTGGCAAGATGAACCAACGTTCGACCCGGAAACTCATGCGCCAGAGATTCATGAGTTTACACCAGCCAATTTGAATGCGAAAAAGCGCGTTGGTGTTTGATACGGAGGGTGGTGCTGGTCTTCCCCCACGTGCCCTCACGGCAGCGCGTCTCCTGCAACTTCGCCGGCGGATGTCGGGGTTAATGGAACTGCCACTGCCGGAATTGGAAACGGCATTTCGGGGTTGGTTGTGGGTTTGTTTGTATTTATTTATAAGGACATTTTGTTAAAGCTACATTATAAGTTGGATATTAGATAGTAAATAAATAGATTATTTTAAAAACATTACCACAAAAAAAGATATTATGAATTTAATGATTCTATAAAATATTAATTTATTAAATTTTTTCTATGATCCTTGGCCTATAGCGGTACCTTAACCAACCCCAGGTCCAATAGCTCGACAGTCAATCTAGTAACAATAACGGAAGTGGCAGAAACCAGTGTTAAATATTACCCACTCCATCCATATTTTAATTTGATCCATCATTCCCTATACTTTGTACTACAGTTTTTATTTTTTCTTTTTATTATTATTTTTTATTTATTTATGAATTTATCATTCTTATAACTAATGTATGAATTACATGTATGAAATTTAATTAAACGATAATTTAATAGCAATCGATATTTAGGCAATACGGTATCAAACAAACTTTATACACTAATAGATATTAGAAAATAGATTGAGAAGTTCGAGTAGATCTCTATTTCACTTCAAATATTACAACAAATAGTGATAAACTCTACTTTAAAAAAATACACGAAGTGATCATTAGTCAAATTCTATCAAAAAAAAAAAAAAAATGTGGCATTTCAAAAAAGAAATGCCAAGATAAGAGTAAAAACCTATCATAAGAGGTACTACACTAGGGAAACGTTGTTGACTGATCCTTCACTATCGTTAACTAAAATTGGACGTGCTAGTGTCGAGATTCAGATCCATGACCTCTTAGTCAAGAATATACGTCTTCACCAATTAAGCTGCTCTGATTATAACCATAAGGGGCAACTAGTCAATCATAGTTTCTTTACGTTCCACGTCTTCTCTTCAACAGCAAAGCATTTATGTTGAAATTTGTCAAAAAATTCTCTCTTTTCTTTTCTTGTTTCGTATCGACCATATAGATCTAAATCAGATATGTAGATGTATTTTCCTACTCTCCAGATCAATGATCAACACTAACTTTATCAATCTAGGTATACAAAAATGAACCAACCGATTCGAATGAAAACTGACCTTTTCTGTTAAGGATTTGAATTTTGCGTTCTTACGAGATCTCTCTCCCACTCGAATACTTGAGAAATCTCAGTATCTTGAGGTAACAAAACTTGAGGATCAAGAGACTTCTTACTAAGAATGTTTGAGATAACTACTTGAAGAGTTTGACAAGCATGGACTTCATCAATCTTCTGCAAATCTGTCAATTCTAAAGTATAATCTTTCCATGGTTGGTAGAACGTCCTGAAATCAAAAGATCGGTCTATAAGATAGATAGCACGATCAAGAGAATATTAAGAAAATTAGACAGACTATATTTTAATTTCTTCTGCAAGCAACTTTTCAGATCCCACTTAATAATGAAAATTAAAACCTCCATTCTTCTAACTTCATAATATATCATAAGATTCTACAAATGTTGTGGATTACAAAATTTGAATGCAGATTAACTGTCTTCCAACCTTTTTATCTAGCAAATTCATACTCGAAGCTGTCTTAAGCTATCGCAATCAGTTGAATTTAGAAGAAGCTGTTTATGATCAAAATGCACCATAGAACATATGTAGATTTGATCCAACAAGGATTAAGAAAGGTGGAAAGTAAATCTGAAAGGAAAAGATCAAAAAATAAATTTCAAAACTGAAAATTTGGAAGTTTGCCACTATAGAACTACAAGTTAAAAGGAGGGAAATAGTGAGATCCCACATCGGTTGGAGAGGGGAACAAAACATTTTTTATGAGAGTGTGGAAACCTCAACCTAACAGACGCGTTTTAAAACCTTGAGAGGAAGAGCAAAAAGGAATGTCCAAAGAGGACAATATCTAGTAGTGGTGGGCTTGAGCGGTTACAAATGGTATCAGAGCCAGACACCGGGAGGTGTGCCAGCGAGGACATTGGGTCAGATCCTACATCGGTTGGAGAAGGGAACGAAACATTTCGTATAAAAGTATGGAAACCTCTCTCCAGCAGACGCGTTTTAAAGCTTTGAGAGGAAGTCCAAAACAATATCTATTAGTAGTGGGCAAGCCAGAAATGTTTCTCCCCAAACAATTATGGTTCAGAAATTGGAAAGGTTGGGGAGGATTTCATGACATTGTGGTTTCTCGAAAATTTGCTATTAGACTCAGCAGAACAGAATTAAATTTCTTCTTTTTTCTTCAGTTTTTCCAAACACTGAACCCCAAAGTCTTTGGCTCCTAGCAGCTAGCATACTTTGTGCAATGCAGAATATATCCAAGACAAAATGGCAGTCACTTAAATACGACTGTGAATAAACTGAGCCTTCTAAAAAGAATATAACTACTAAATCTTTTGCATCTCTTGTTTGGGTAAGCTGGAAAGACGTCAAACAGAAAGGGTAGAGGATAGAATATGCATACCATCTCCATGCAGGATTTACTTCTTCAGGGCAACGTATCTTTGACAACAGTTGTGCCAAATCAGCTCCATGACTATGAAAAAGACCTGATTCGTTGTAAAAAGTAGATATCAGACAAAATATGAGACAACAAAGTAATGTAGAAAAGCAATTGAAATGCTTTTGGATTTACCTAAGAAATTATGCACTTTCAAGATATCCAAATGAATAAATTAGACGAGAACAGCTAGCATTACAGATATCAATGTGTAGACTTGATCAATATATAATAGTAATTACTTCCTTTTTTGCAACGTTATAATGATTGTTATTTTGACAATTTCTCATAACTAGGAACACAATACTTATACTACCGATCAGACTCAAAGTGAATCCTTCGGCTCGGAAACAGAAAGAACAAATGAGAAAATGAGAAAATGAGAACAAGGCCTCCAAAAAAGGAAAATTCATAAAGTTATTAAAATATATATAAAGTTCACATGAAGTACAAAATATACTCCCCTAAAAAGTATCAAATATTGAGTTAATTAAGTTTGGTGAACAACCGGCGACGAAGAGAAATGGTGGCTGGTAGCGAGTGGTCAGTGATGTTACTTGATAGGATTTTTAGATTCACGATTTTGTCTTTTTTGTTTTGTTTTGTTATTTTTTGTTTAAATTTAAATGATTTTCCCTTCTGTTTAAAAACTTCCCCTACCGTGCCCAAAATTAAAAAAAAAGCATGTAAAATAGCAGTGTCTTGGCCTACAATGAAGTGTTTGTGCTTCTAGGTTGCTGAGATGAATTTCACTGGTTCAATGGAAGGATAAAAGGTTTGCTCCAATAAAGACACCATCTGATAATCTAATCGCAACAAAAAATTTAAAGAATTTAAGACATTCAAAATATACCTGCAGAAATGAGAGCATCCAAAAGGAGGAGACAAAGGGCAGATATCACCACAGGGAGCACCATGAAACTACTCTTAAGATGTTGGAGATAGAAAATATTTGCGGCCAAGAGCTCCTCACAACCAAATTCATGTAGACTACTGTCATCACCCGTATTTTTAACATGTTCTAATAAAGAGTAGAGTGTTTCAGCACTCGGTTTTTCTGTAGTGGCAAGGTTCAAACTATCAAGCTTCCAAGAAATCCTTCCAAAAATTACAGAAGCAGATAACCAACGTAGAAGCTTTGATGTCAAGGATTCGTCAAAATGCTCTTCATCAGATTCACTCATTAAACCCAAATGAGATTCTTTGTCTATCATTCTAGAATCAGACTCTAAAGCGGTGGAAATTGCCCATGAAAGAAAATCTGAGCACTTCTTTAGGCCCTGCAAGAAATCAAAGAACCAGTTGATAATTTTAACATAAAACGTAGTAAAAATTTAAACACATGATTCAAGTGTAAGATGAAAAAATGAGACAAATGAAACACTATGAAGGATCAT